ACACATGTCAGGCTAAGTAACTATATAACTATAAAGTAGTTAGTGGTGCTTCACAAGTAATTCATATAATTCATTATAATGTTTTTTGTTATGAAAGATAATTATTGGCTTCTAAACTGATCGAGTGCCTTGTAAACATAATTTTCATCCAAACGTCCACGAAAATGCTATTTCATTAACATATTTATTGAAAATATTTTACTAAATAAATATGTTTCTAATAAGAGTTTGCTACACTGAAACATTTTTACAGTCCCCTGGCAACTCTTTTTGGGGAAACAAAATAGATTTAGAAATATTTGTTCCCTTTTAAATAAATATCATGTGCCAGCATTATTTAAGTAGACCAATAAATAAAATTAGAAAACTAAACCACTAATAAAAAGAATGTATTCAAAATGACTGGGGCCTTTTTAAAATCTTTATTCAGTTAAGTATGTAAGATGTATGAAATTGTAGATAACATAAAAATACCTAAATACCTATTAGCAGTAGAAAGAGAGAAGTACAGAACCTCACTTAGAGTATTGTACGCAGTACTGGAATACTGGAGTATCTCCAGAAGGATATTGATACTTTAGGTAGAGTACAGAAAAGGGCTACTAAACTGGTTCATGGATTGCTGGAGGAAAACTTTCAAGGAAAGGTTAAAGGAACTTAACATGTATAGCTTGGAAGAAAGATGAGACAGGGGGGATATGATAGAAACATTTAAATACATAAAGGGAATCAACACAGTTAAGGAGGAGACTATATATAAAAGAAGAAGAACTACCACAACAAGAGGACAGTCTTAAATTAGAGGGGCAAAGGTTTAAAAATAATATCAGGAAGTATTACTTTACTGAGAGGATAGTGGATGCATGGAATAGCCTTCCAGCTGAAGTGGTATAGGTTAACACAGTGAAGGAGTTTAAGCATACGTGGGATAGGCATAAGGCTATCCTAACTATAAGATAAGGCCAGGGACTAATGAAAGTATTTAGAAAATTGGGCAGACTAGATGGGCCGAATGGTTCTTATCTGCCATCACATTCTATGTTTCTATATTTCACTTACTTTCCCATATAATATTCATAAATATCACTCTATTGTAACCTCACCTTGCTACTAATTATTATTATGAGTATAATGCATTTTACCTTTTTGTAAATTATACCTACTCGTTTGGGAAGTAAGCTCATTTGAGTAGAGCCTTCAATACATTCCATTCCTGTCTGTCCAACTTGTTTAGTTCCAGGTACATGTTTGTTAGTCTACCTATTGTACAAAACTGCAGAATATGTTTGCGATGTAAAAATACTAATAAAAAGAGCAACAAAAACAATAAGCCATTTGCTTTGGTGACAGTAGATTGTACTTGTTGAAGTTGCAATTTCTTGTCTCCAAAAAACATCTCGATCTACTTAATGCTGAAAGCAGAAGGACTAATTAATATCTAAGGACAGTGAATGGTTTCTCTTCACCTTCAATCTAGATTATATAGGAAATCAGTTCAAACTGATTTTATATGAAAACATTGTTTCTCACAGCTCCTGAATATCCCACTGATCTCCACCACCGCCGCACGTCAGCTGACCAGCTGTGAGTCAGGATGGGGTAGAAAACATTGTGTAACTTAAGGAGTACTAATCGTAATGGAACACCGGCCCTCCTGTGGTCAGCAAAAATAATCCAAACACTAGACCATGTAATCTTTAAGAAGAATTTGTTTTTGGCAGACCGCCACATGAGATGATCAGAAGTACAAGACAGTAGAAATCCGCTTGACGCGGTTCACACCCCACTGGCGTTTAATCTTATGATTAATTATATTTAAAGTTGAGTGGATGCTAAATTTATATTTAAAGAATAGTGTTTGCTTAAAAGGCAATTTATCTTGCTACAAAAGTTTTGGCAACAGTTTATTATTAAAAGCAGAAACAATATGAATATGTCAGTTTCATGTCCATTTGCTAGCAAGTATTCGGTTACCTATAAACTCATGTTATCTCAAATATACTGCCTGGCCAAAGATATCCTAAGTATATTTATTGGCTGTCAAGGCTTATCTTGTTTTTAGTTTCCTAGTTCCTCTTCTGGCTTTTTTTAATAGGAGCTACAATAGACTAGAAATTCTTGTTGACAGCATTCTGAGTGGCTTAGTGCTTAAGGAAGGAAGGGTGATAGTCTCTAGAGCTTACTTCATGGGTTTTAAAAGCCATTAGTCTAGAAATTATGTCTAACAAATACAGAGAATGCAACATACAAAATTAACATCTATAAATAATAAAAGAAAATTCCGAAATTATACTTTTTCACTTAATTGTACCAGGCAAATTGTGTGTTTCTTAATAGTTTTTTATACCAATGAGATCATTGATAGAGTGGATATTTTTTATGCCATTAGGGAAAAATAACGAATGTGGCCGTGGCTGTCTTTACTATTGATTGGACCCTGGGCAAACGTTTTCTTGGCCCCCCTGTACCCTAGCATGCAATCACATGATCCACCCTAAAACAGTGGCAGAAATAAAGTAGAAAGGACCTGGTGCGAGAATATTTTTGCCCTCTTCCCCCACCGCCATCGCATGGGTGGCCAAAAAGTAGATCCCTATTTGTCGTGCAACTCCAACAATGCTCTGACAGCTGGGACTCTACAATTCTCCCATGCTTACATGGTTGTGTTTAGTACTAAGCAGTGTTTGTTTGAATGTAAGCGTGTTTTTGTATGTAGTATGTTTGTGTGAATGTAGGGATGTGTATGTATGTGGTGTTAGCATTTGAATGGAAGCATGCATTTTGTGAAGTGTTGGTTTTCGACTGCAGTGTTTATATTTAATTTTGGTGTTTAACACAGAGGTGTGTTTTCATGCAGTGTTGACGTTTCAGTGTAGGAGTGTGTTTATATGTAATGTTGAAGTTTGAATTCAGGGGTGTATTTGTGTGTAGTGATGGCATTTGCACGTTGAGATGTATGCACATATACACACACACTATGATACACATACATACACACACTGAAGCACATGCAGATACGCAAATATATACACTGACGCACATGGAGATATACATACACATATCCAAAATTTACACATGTGCAGATACAGACACACAGATTGGTGCAGATACAGACACACCAATACACACACAGACAAACATATACACAACTTGAACACATGCAGATACACAGCCACACAGATACAAACACTAACACACATGCAGATACATACAAAGATACACATGCTGACAACATACAGATACACAGAATGAGAACATACAGATACACACAGACACATTTACTGTCCGATTTACTGACACACAGACATACAATAACAGACATACTGACACATACATACACTGAAAGATATACTGACACACAGACACATATCCTGACAGACATACTGATACACATACAGACATCGAATGATAGGCATACTGACACACAGGCACATACATTGACAGACATACTGACATACACACAGACACATACACTGACAGACATACTGACACACACACAGACACATACACTGACAGACATACTGACACACACACACACTGACAAACATACTGTAACGGAGCTCCTTGTACTCCGACTGAGTACCCTCCGTTGACGGATGCTCCTAGTGCTTCCTGAGGACTCCAAGCGCTGCAGCAGACACCACAACCACCGCAGACTCCACAACCGCTGTATCTTGACTGGAGTCTCGCCGTCTTCCTTCCACCCTGGATCAGCTTCTATCCTCCAGGACTGTGTGGGAAAAAACTCTTCCTTCCACCCTGTACGAACCTCCAGCATCCAGGACTGTGTGGTGAAGACCCCTCCTCCAAGGAGAGCGTGTCAGGAACAAGCTCTTAAAAGAGCTAAGTGATTCAAGCTCAGGGGAGCATGCAGAGCATAGCAATCCCCAGTGTGATATAGCAGTTCCCTCCAATAACGAGACAAGGCTACGTATTGAGGGTCAAGAAGATCTGATGTTTAATGGCACACACTCTGCTTTTATGAGATTCTGCCCATGCAAGGGAGACACCCACATAATTAGCAGTATAACCAATCGGAACAATATACATTCGGGGAAATTCCCATCCCTCAGATAATCACATAACATAATTAAAACAGAACAGTAAAAATACAGTTTTTATACATGTACTATAACTTCCAAACTACACATCCAATCTTCATAAAAATTACATATTTGGAATCAATCCATTAAGGGGAGCAACATATTAAAAAATGGCACAAATCAGACAAGGGGTTCAAAAGTTAGCAAAAGTGTCTTTTGGGGCCTGGCTGGCAGCATGGTTTTCTGGCCCAAACCGGTTTTACAGAGGCCTCTATCCTGGACAATGGGGAAAGTAATCCAATTATCCAGGGATAGAGGCAGACTCCATTAACCACATGTTAGCAAAAGACACAAAAAGACACAAAAATACATAACTCCTATTGAACTGAACAGAACCCCCACATTCAACCTATCCCCAGATGGCTTGGATCTGAGCGCTCAATATATCCAAACAGCGCTCAGATCCCACAAATACAGTCAAATCGCCATACACACTAGGTCCATAGTCATGGGGCAGAAGGCTGGCAATTAGGCTTCTCCATAACACAGGGAAGCAGGGCAATTTGTCAAATAAAATAACAGTTACAAATGGCAGTTTGTAACACATACTAACACACACAGACACATACCCTGACAGACATACTGACATGCACGCAGACACATACACTGAAAGACATACTGACACACACAGCATACACACTGACAGACATACTGACACACACAGATATATTCACTGACAGACATACTGACACATACACACTAGCAGACACCCAGAGACACATAGACTGACAGACATAGAGACGCGCACAAAGACACATACACTGACAGAAATACTGACACACACAAGGACACATACACTGACAGGCATACTGACACACACCAACACTTACATACATATTGAAACATGCAACATTTACATTTGTAAACCCATCCTCCAGTTTCTCACCTTTTGCTGGAGGATGAATTCCCTGGGGTCCTGTGTGGTGCCTGAGGTTGTTGATGAATAGCTTTCCAACCCCCTTCCCCACTCACTGGTCCTCCCTCCCGTGCGGCTCTGTATTCTCTGGGAGGAAGTGACTCACGGCTGTCACTTCCTCCCATTCTCCTGAAACTGTTGTCAAACTAAAACTCCCATGATATCTTGCCAGCTTCAATCCATACATGAACATCATGTGATACTCTCGAGGATTAAAACTCTTTAATTAGTTTTCTGAAAGACTTGATAAAAGCCATGATTGGGGCTGAAACATTGCTTGTGGGTTCCAAATAAAAATTGCTGTTTCTCGGAGACTGTGAGTGCAAGATTTTTTTTTTGTGTTTGTGATCTCTACATAAGGATTGCCACCCTGGATCTGTGTACAACATATCAATTTCCCTTCCAATTTGATGAGTACCGTCTCTATTTTCTTTAACCATATTTTAGTGGATTCTCTTTAATTATTGAGCAAAGAAATATGTTGATGTCCATTGCTTACCAAACGCTTACATGGATTATTAAAGTTATTGAAGTGTATTCATACACCCTGTTCCAAATTATTATGCAAATTCTATTTAAGTGTCACAAAGATTAAATATTTTGTTTTTCAGTTTAACTCATAGATGGCATTGTGTCTCAGGGCTCTTTTGATCACTGAAAACAATCTTGGACACCTGTGATAATTAGTTTGCCAGGTGAGCCCAATTTAAGGAAAAACTACTAAAGGAGGGTGTTCCACATTATTAGGCAGAGCACCATTTTCATGCAATATGGGGAAGAAAAAGTATCTTTCTGCTGCCGAAAAGAGTGAAATAGTTCAATGCCTTGGACGAGGTATGAAAACATTAGATATTTCACGAAAACTTAAGCGTCATCATCGTACTATTCAGAGATTTGTGGCTGATTCAGAGCACAGACGGGTTCGTGCAGACAAAGACAATTTAATAGAGTCCTCCAGAGTCTTGCAACTGTGCATAAACCTTCTATTCGGCCACCACTAACCAATGCTCACAAGCAGAAACGGCTTCATTGGGCATAAAAATACATGAAGACTAATTTTAAAATAGTCCTGTTCACTGATGAGTACCATGCAAACCTGGATGGTCCAGATGGATGGAGTAGTGGATGGTTTGTGGACGGCCACCCTGTCCCAAAAAGGATGCAACGTCAGCAAGGCGGTGGAGGAGTCATGTTTTGGGCCGGAATCATGGGAAGAGAGCTGGTCGGCCCCTTTAGGGTCCCCGAAGGTGTAAAGATGACCTCTGCAAAGTATGGGGAGTTTCTGACTCAACACTTTCTTCCCTGGTACAGAAGGAAGAACTATGCTTTCCGTAATAAAATCATCTTCATGCAGGACAATGCACCATCTCCTGCTGCAAAGAATACCTCTGCATCAATGGCTGCTATGAGGATAAAAGGAGAGAAAGTCATGGTGTGGCCTACATCCTCCCCTGACCTCAATCTTATTGAGAACCTTTGGAGTATTCTCAAGCAAAATATCTATGAGGGTGGGAGGCAGTTTATATCCAAACAGCAGCTATGGGAGGCTATTCTGACATCTTGCAAACAAATTTAAGCAGAAACTGTCCAAAAACTCACAAGCTCAATGGATGCAAGACTTGTGAAGCTGCTATCAAATGTTAAAATGTAACGTGACCTGTTAAAATGTTCAAAAAGTTAAAATGTTGTTATAAGTTTGATTGAAATAGCTTTTGATTTCAGTAAATGTGCTGCAAACACAACAAATGACAATTTTCAGTTCTTTACAACCTATAAAGTGTTTTGAAACTTACTGTGCGTAATAATTTGGAACAGTGCATTGTAAGTTTTTTATGTTTAAAAAAAATACTGTTATCATTAGAAGGTTTGTTCAATAAAATTTGAATTGTACTCTTAATAGTTGATAACATGAGCATTATGCTGACTGTTATTTATATCGATTATTTAGGTAAATGAGAAAAATATAATTTGCATAATAATTTGGAACAGGGTGTAATACTATATATTATATATGCATATATAGTATATAGTATTATTCACACTCCAATCTCTAGGCCAATTATTTCATGCAAGACATCACAAATTATTAAACAATGTTACCTTGGACTGAACTGAAGATATTGTTCAGAATCAATTGTTCTATGAAAAGGGTGATCGAGTTACATAAGAGAATCTCCATGGATAGCAGGAAATGTCTCTGATTGACCTCTGAACTTTGTAATCTTGAGGATAAAGAAGTGAAATATTAATGAAATACTAGACATAAGGATTATACCTGGCTATGCACATGGCATTAAAGGGATGGGGGATGGTACCTCTTAGCAACAGAAATAAATGTAAATTAAGCTTTTACTGGGGTGTGACGTGCTGTGGTAGTAAGTGCAGATATACCTTTTGTTTCATTTCAGGTGATTGATTTGCACCACCATCTTCCACATCTTCACAAACATCACATAGGGAAGAATAGGACATGCACATTTGCATTGGATACCAGGCTGTGCATTCACAACCTTTTGAGGTTTACAAAATGGAGACTTAAGTTAAAAAAAAAAACAGAAACATTTTGATCTCACTCAACTATAAAGACTGATTTTATGATCAAATTTTATGATTTTATATTTACCTCAACCACTGCTATACTCATCCGTTATGATATGAGGAAGAGGGCAAAAACAAGGGAAGTAGCTTCTCCAGCATGATTCTGAGATATCAGGGCCCTTCTCTTACAAGGCCTGAAACAAGCCCAGTCTAAAATGGATGTCCACAGCGAACGTAATGAGTCATCCTCAGAGGAAATATCCTTGGAAGCCATTGATGAGCTGCTGCAGGGCTTACACCATGCATCAGGACGAAAAACTGGCTACTAAGAAAGATATCAAGTCTGAAGGACATTAGACAACCTATTCATGCAGACCTCTTCATTATAAGACATTCATACTTTAATAGGCTAAATTAAAACCCTGTATAGGGACTCTCAGGATACATGCTCTCATCAGACATCCATCCACTCTGCCATCTCGCAGCTGCAAATTCCGTGAGTTCTGGGGGTGCTTGCCGGCCGTCAGAGAGAGGGTTAAGGTACTCTAGGGGCACTTGGGAGGAGGAATGTAAGGGGTCTCTCCCGGGGGGGCTTTGGTCCTGGTGTGGGCAGGGTACGGGTCTGTGGGATCAAGGAGGCCCTTTTTCTTGCCTCTATTGGGAGGGGGGCCGAGATGTGGGGGTCTTATTCATCTCCCCTTCCCAGGCTGGTTGGCTGTGTGCTCAGGGTGCAGAGAGCCTACTCAGAGTCGCGGAGGTGCTGATGTGCGGCCCCACATTTGGGGGGTCCGGGCCAATGTTCCGGGGTTAGCCATTCACATGAGATTCCTGAGAGACGGGGGAGGCCAGGGTTTGCGGCCAGACTATGGCGGTGCATAGCCCTGGGAGGGCACCATGGGCCGCACATGCCCTCTGGGGGTGCTCCAATCAAGGCTCTACCTCTCAGACATACGAAATGACATTCGCAATCTGTATTTGATTTAGATCAGGCGGGGTGTCGGGGGTGGCTGGGCTCCATGTCAGTGGGGTTGCCGGCTCCCCCCCCTTCTCACCGGGGTTGTCTCAGAGTTTTCCTTTGGCTACCACAGGGGGTTGGGGGACTCTGGTGATCTCCTTTTCCACTTATGGGTGGGTGGGAGTCGGGGCTCCCAGACTGGGGAGGGTGGGGCCTACATTCGGGTCGTTTTTGAGAGGTCTGTTCCTGGTCTTTGGGGGGTTTGCCATGGGAATGTATTATTTATGCCAACCATGTTTTACATGTGGGGTACGCTGAACTAACCTGAATGAGATATACTGTACAGTATAAGACACAACAGTGAGTGGGGGTGCGTGCGTCCCGCGATTAGGTGCAGATGTATGAATTTACCCGGAAACCCGAGGATACCCATCACACTTATTGTGCACTCTAACGAGATTGGGAGACACCTGGAAACTAAACTTAAAATACCACACACATCAAATATAGAGGGGTTTCCTATTGACAACTGGCTAGCGATGCCTACTCAACAGAGCATGACACCGTTGAGTACAGAGCTCGGCCTATAGGGGCGGATGACGGGCCACTGTGATAGGTACTGCTGAGTCGTTGTCCCCCTCTGCAAGGCATGGCCACCCTTTTGTCATCCTCCCGCACCTCTCCTGCTTTTGGGCTGGAACCGGATCACCCGCAGCGGCTGACCGGCCTTCCCCTCCTACCCTCCCCTCCCCTGGACGGCAGATGGCTGGCTGGGTTCCGGTGGTGCAGAGAGTGGACATTCAGTCCATCTCTTGATCAGACCATGCGGAAATACATCTCCTGTTGCGAGGCTTTCTGACTCCATCGAAGTGGACATGGCACCTGAACAATTCACTGTTAAAAGATCGTGAGGTAGTGGCGGAATTGAACAGTAGAGGAATACTTTCTCATTATAGACCTAGATCGAGGGGGACTGGGTCTCCCAAGTCTCCTTATTGTTACGTGGGTCAGCTGGCTCACGTGGTGATTTGGCATATGCTTCCGGGGGAAAAGAGATGGGTGGATCTTGAGTCAGTGCTCATGGTCTCTGACCTTCCCATGTTCTTTATGTGGCTGGCAAAGACCCAACAGGCCCTGCTCTGTACCGAGTGTCCGGGAATAATTACTTCTCTGACTATCTGGGACAAGGTTAGGTATAAGTTTGGCCTCTGCTCTCAACCCTCTCAGTTGGCTCCACTTTAACGGAACAGGGACTTTCCCCCTGGGAATGGTTCCTCAAGTATTTGGGAACTTAGAGGACATGGGACTACAGAGGCTTTTCTACCTATGGGAGGATGACGAAATGGTGACCCTTAATGCCCTGAAACAGAAAGCCCGACTTACCAACCACGACTACTTTAGATACTTGCAAATTAGGGATTACGCCCAAAGAGAGGAGGTGCTAGGGACTAAAGGAACTAAGCCCACTTTTTTTTAGATGCTCTGCCATTAGGGTAAGCATCGGAAAAAAGGTCTCATTACTGAGATAGATGCCGCAATCTGCACACATGCAGATGTGTGGGGTCCCCTAAGGTATGTCGATTGGTGGGAGAGGGACCTGGGGGGAGGGGACATTGATGGCGATGAATGGCAGGATATGTGGAAAGCCGCAGCAAAGGTCTCTGTGTGTGTCACCTCACAGGAACAAATGTATAAGATTCTCTTTAAGTGGCACAACACTCCTGTACAGGTGCTCAAAATGAGGGGGCACACCCCTCAGACGACTGTTGGAGGATGTGCGAAATGAAAGGGACGTACTCACATATGTGGTGGGATTGTCCTGCCCTGACACTCTACTGGGGGGACATACAAATCCTCCTTACGGAGGTCTTCGATAGGCCGTTCGAACTGGACCCTTGATTGTTTTTGTTTTCTAAGTGTCCTTAGAGGGAGTGACCCACCGTGAGCAAAAATTAGGTAATAAAATCACTCTAGCAGTGAGACGAGTCCTTGCAGCCCACTGATTACAACCCTCCCCCCCCCTGTCCTTGGGTGAGGTGAGGGCCAAAATAGATAATCATCAAATGGATCAACTATCAGTGACCCTACATAATTCCCTTGACTCATTCCACAAAATCTGGGATTGTGATTGTGATCATTGTCTATTGGTATCCAAAAAAAAAGAATTATAAAAAAAAAAAAGAAGATTGTGCTTGTCCCCTAAATATAATAAAAATGAGGCTTGATTATTATTCTGTGGGTAAGTAAGAAATTATATATAAGTTAATTTTGGACATGATACTGAAACACAAGACTAGTGATCATTAACATATCAATGAAATTAACTCATCAATTAAAAGGGTAGAGGCCATATGGCTGAAGTCTGCTAGTTTACATTGGAACTAGACATCCAGGCATCTCAAGTGTAAAATCTCACACCCTGCAGAGCCTTTGATTAATCAAAGGATCAATCCATGTTGCAAACCGTCTGCCCCCTTCATATTCTTATACCATTTTCCCTTCTGTCATCTGATCTCTACCAAATGTTCAATTCATATATGCACTACACAAATTACATTAAATGGCAATATTCTATTGTGCAACAATAAATTGTAGACCCTTGGCGTGACAATATCTACTAAATATTTAAAATTAGAGACTGGGCAGCCATTGCTGTCCACTTGCTAGACAGGCCATATCCCCTGTAGAATAACAAGGGCATTGGATGTTTGGAAGTGAACGGAAATATGTGAATGTGTATTCTGAAGATTTATTCAGTTCCGTATTTTGGGATTGGGATGGGGGAGCAGTGAATTGGACTCCAAATGCATCTGGGCAATTGCTGCAGAATTA